TGGGGTATAGGGTTTCGGGTTTAGGACTGACGGTTTAGGGTTTCCAAGGTCAGGGTGTGTAGGAGCATCGCAGAAACAGAGGGATGGCCCTCTATACCTGCCCCACAAGCAGGCGAGCAGTGTGTTTGGCTTAGGCCTCAAGTCTTTAGGTCTGAGGCTTCTAGGGTTGCGGAGGGCTTAGATTAGGCTTCTAGGGTTGGGGAACCCAAAAACCCCAAAACCCCAAAATCCCAAACCCCCAAAAGACCCTAAACCGTTGCCAGGGCCACTGCACATCCGCCAGTCGGAGCTGGATCTCCTCCCTGGTGGCTTCCAGCGACTGGCAGCGCTTCTCCAGCGACTCGACGGCGCCCTGGAGCCTCTTGGTTTAGGGTTTAGGGTTTAGGGTTTAGGGTTTAGGGTTTAGGGTTTAGGGTTTAGGGTTTAGGGCTAGGGTTTAGGGTTTAGGGGCCCTAAACCATAACCCTGAAGCCCTAGGGCCTTCAACTTTTGGAGTCGGAGGGTGTTGGGCTTCTGGGCTTTAGTACTTTAGGGTTTGGCTTCGGGGCTTGCCAAAAACAACCCAGGCCCCATACTTCGGATCCCTATAAACAAGGGTAAGGGGCCATAGTAACCCTAAACCCTAAACCCTAATGGCCCATAATTCCAACCTCAGACTTGGAGTTTAGGGGTTTGGGGGGTTTTAGGGGCTTAAGGGTTTTAAGGCTCAGGCTGTAAGGGTTTAGGCCGTTAGGGTTTGGGCTGTTTAGGGTTCAAGGTTTCGGCAGGGGTTGAGGGCTCGGGTGAACTTTAGCAGACCCCCTCAACCCTCAACCTCTGAACCCTCAACCCCTCATTGCTTGCGGGTTCATGGGCAGTTCTAAGTAGGGACATAAGTGCGTCAACTCTACTTTTATAACCCTAAGTAGGGTACATGCAACCCCTCTTACAACCCTCAGCCCTAAACCCCAAAACCCAAAACCCAAAACCCTAAACCCTCAACCCTAAACCCTAAACCCCAAGCCCATGATCCCCCATGTAGGGTTTCACGGAATGGCCTGCCGGACACTTCTTGAAGCCGAGCGCTGCCCTCCTGGCCCGCAAAGCGCAACCCGAAACCCCCCCCCCCAAAAAAAAAAACTCTGAACCCTAAAGCGGTTTAGGGTTTAGGGTTTAGGGTTTAGGGTTTAGATGGTTTAAGGTTTAGGGCATTGATGAGTTATAAGTAGGGTAGAAGTGCCCTAAGTAGGATTATAAGCATAGTTACCATGCTTATAACCCTACTTATAACTACCCATGACCTTGCAAGTAGACCCCAAGGCCCTCAAGCCCAAACTCCCAGACCCAAGAGTAACCTGGGAATAAAACGGGGTACCCTTTTTTGGCTTGAAGGGGCTTATAAGGACAGGAACCTAAACCCTTAAAAAAGTGGGAGTAAGGGCCTGCTCTCCTGCTCTGGGTTCCAGGTCCTAGACTCTGAACCCCTGAAGCCCGCAAAGGAGAATTGTGCCTTTAGCAATTAGTCATGATGATCATACTAATAACAATACAGTAGTACTCGTACTGAAGATCGAAAACAGTGGAAAAGTTGTCTGACTCGACGTTGGAGCTGCGTGGTTCCCTGCCAAGCCGCAGCCATCAAGGCTAAGGAGAAGAAGCCTAAACCCTAAACCCTAAGGCCCTAAGCCCTAAGCCGTAAACCCCAAACCCTAACCCAAACCGAGGTATGGGATATCTAGAGTTTAGGGGTTTAGGGTTGAGGGCCTGGATCTGGGTAGAGTCCCTTTATGCACCTGGCCCTCGGTCGCCACTTCGTCGCGCAGACGCGAGTGCCGGGCCTTTGGCCATGCAAAACCCTACATAGGGTCGTTAGGGTTTTGGGTTTGGGTTGAGGGTTTGGCGTTTAGGATTGTGGGCTTCGGGTTTAGGGTTTCCTCAAAACACTCAAACTTAAACTGCCAAACCCACACGACCTCAGATCATCGCACCAAGGGGGGGTGGGGGGGCACTTCCGGTCTCCACAATAAGACAGAACCACAAACTGAAAAACCCGAAGCCCTGGACCCTGAAACCCTACCGCAGCTCTCTGAACAAGGCTGAGGCAAAGAGCTCCTTGCGCTCCATGCCCATGCGCTCTTCCAGCGCCTTTCAAGAGCTCACCGGTGAGAAAGTCGGGAATAAGGAGAGGTCAGGGTTTAGGGTTTAGGGTTTACGGTTTAGGGCTTCGGGATCTGCAGGGCTTAGGGTTTAGGGTGAAGGAGGGAGAAAATAGCCTTAGGGCTTAGTCCCTTACAGGATTATAGAAAGCATCCCAGAACCTCGTTTATATACTCTTCATCGTCACGTTGTGCCTCGCAGGGTCTTCACTTATTCCCAAAACATTGTGCAGGATCATTCAGCCGAGCGGCATGCTCCCCTTTGTACTTTGTTGTTCTTCTTTGCCTCTTCATTCCTCGTCTTGTTCCCCTTTTTCTTCTTACAACCGCTGTTGTAGTTCGGTTTTTATTGTTACGGTCTTCTTGTCAAGTACACATTAGTGTCTAAAAGGCGGGAGACCGGGCCAGCAAGAGCCCTGCAGAACATGGCGAGCTGGGCGCTTCCCCACACTTATGGGGTCTCGTCTGAGTCGCAATTCTGAAAAAAGAAGTGACCACCCTCGCGGTGGGACCCTGCTGTCGCGGTGCCGAAACATGGGCGCACGTGTGACACTTGAACCATGCGACCATGTGACAGACTGTTCTCGCACACAGGACCCCATGATTCAGGATTGGTTCGGGGTGATCGGGCCTCCTAGATCCAAACGACTTAAGTAAGCCGTAAACCCAACTCCAACACCCCCAAAAAGAAACTGAAGCCTGAACCGAGTCCCAAGATCCCGAAACCCAAATTCCCAAACCACAAACTCCCAAACAGAGTTTGGGGTTTAGGGTTGGGTCCAACCCCAAACTCCTTGAACCCTAAACCCGAAACAGGAAACAAAGCCTCGACCCGCTGCGCGATGGATTGAGCCATCAGCGCCCGCGAGAAGCCAAGAGCCTCTCTAGGGCTTACAGCAGGGTTTAGGATGTTGGGGTTAGTGTGAGAATTTAGGATTTCGGGTTTAGGATAACTTTGGGTCGGGGTCGCTCTGGGTTTACGGTCTTGATGGGTCTTGCGCAAGAAAGGACAGCATATGCTTCCGACGGACATGCTGCCGCAAGGGTTCAGCATACTGGGCGTAAGCGCAGTGGGCGTAAGCGCAGTGGGCGTAAGCGCAGTGGGCGTAAGCGCAGTGGGGACCGAAACACAAAGTGCTCTGCGTCACTACACACGGGACTGGTTTGTTCAGGGTCAAACCTAAGCCCCAAAGCCTCACGCCCCACAAAACCGCAAGCACGTGCAGGCAGAATCTCCTGGCTCAATGCTTCCATGCGGGCGGTCTGCTCTTGCTGCGCCTGGGGACACCCCATGAACCCTGATTCAAGGTTTTCGGGGCTCAGGGCGCGTCGGGTTAAGCTCAGAGCCCGAGTTGGAGTAGAGCTCTAAACCCTAAGCCGGGCTCAGGAAAGTTCAGGACATAACCCTGGGACTCTCTCTCTCTCTCTCCGATCCTGCATCTCCTCAGACAGCAAGAAAAAGGCGTGAACCCATGCACAAGTCGCCTAAGCTGCAAGCCTCAAACCCTATCCCCAACTTGAAGCACAGGGCACAATGGGCACCAGCTGGCTGCTGCATCTCGTCTTCAGCAGCCCAACCCGCCAAACCGAAACAGGAACCAAAAACGAAACAAATCTTGCCTCCCGAAACCCCACCCACACAAGGCAGTCGAATCCAAAACCCTTAACACCCAAAGTCCTAAAGCCATTGAACCCTCAAAACAAAACGGCGAAAACACCGCCACCGGTCTAAGCCCTCGGCTGCGGCGCGCGCGGCCGTTTCCCCTCCCGACGCAACAGGGCTCTGGCTTCGGGGGGGCGGGAAGACGGGGCCAACGGCGTGCGTGGGGCTTCGGCCCCGAAGCTGAGAGGCAAACAGAGCATGGAGAGCCCCAATGCCCCCGACTTAAGGAATCGAAGCATCCTCATCCCTACATGGTCAGATCTCTAAATTATGGTCCTTTTTGTTGGCAGCCTGTATGGATAAGAGGGGCCGCCTCATAATAAGGACCCCAAAGGGGACAATAATTTAGAGAAAGCACCACATGAATGTGAAGGAGTTGGGTTGGGCGGGCTGGGCCGCCTTCACAGGGCGCGGTGCAACGAATTCACTTGAGCTTCTTCAGTCTGTGCGCTACTTTCTGCAAGACCCTCCCTAGAGCAACCCTGTACCTTTAAGAAATGGTAAATACCCTGCCACATTCAAGGCACAATTTCGCCGTCTAACCCGACCCCAACATACGAGTAGGGCCGAAAACCCTGAAGACGAACCCCAAAGCTGGCCTTCCAAGCGGGCCTGTATCTCCGACAGAGCTGCTCCGCTCTGCACGGAGCCTGAAGAAAGTAGAAAGAGCAGTGGAAAGGGTTTAGAACTCAGCGTAGCAATCGTGAAGACTGCCAGGTGAGGAGGTGTCTATCCGCCGCGCACCGCGTGCGCAGGCACAGAAGCCGCACCTTGCTGAAGTCGGCTCAGGTGCTGCTTCAGGAAGTCCACCTCCTGAAGTCCAAGAGGTGGCCAGGAAACCCGTTTACCCCAAAATCTCTGTCGGGTTACAAAGAAAAATGCCAAAAGGCCCACAAACATCGACTGCCCCTGCAGACTCGGATTTGCACATGCCCTAAGCTTAAACTCCACACTTCTCGGCTACCAGAAAAGCACTGTGCCTGGCCACACGCCAAAACGCAAACATCGTGAAACAAACCGCAGATTGGCCATTTGGGGAACCCTCTGTCTCCCACTAAATCCTACAATGCCACTATACCGAGAGAAATCCATACCTATTCGACGAACCGACTTGCCTTAAATCATACTAGGGACCCCCTAGGATTCATGCAAGACATACTGCCTTCATTTACAAAGGGGTGCTGTGCTCTCTTTCGACGTCTTCACGGCGCCCGGCTGGCCTGAGCCGCAAAGCCGTCGCCGAGCTCTGCCCGGCCTGTCGCCTCCGCCTGGGGCGGGCGGACGACCCAAGCTTTAGGACTGAGGTTTAGGGTATATGAAGTTCAGGGCCCAATACCTCTTTTGTATTCGTGAATATGCCTTTCACAACATAGAGCGGTCCTCTTTTGAAACAAGGGTGTATTCGTTAGCTGAGGGGGTATGGAGACTTCACAGGAAGACGAGGCGGTGAGGAGCACCCACGCTGTCCGCAGCGAACCTGTTTACAGGCTTTTTTTGCTTCGGGTTTCGGAACCCCACCCCTTAGCCATCTGCCCCGCAAGCTGACTTCGGGCATAAGGCTTCGGATTTCAAAAACTCGAAACCCTAAACCTCATAAACCCTATAAACCCTAAACCCTTACAAACCCTAAGCCCTGAACCTTATAAACCCTCAACCGTATAAACCCGAAAAAAGACCACCATGGACCCTCCCCCCTTGGGGCTCGCGCGGCTCTCCCCGGAACTTCCAGCGCCGTGAGCCGCACCCGCAGCTCCGCCTTTTTTGCTCTCAAGGGGGCCCAACGTCTGGTTCAGGGCTTAGGGTTCTAGGGTTTGGGGCTTAGGGTTTAGGGTTTAGGGTTGAGGGTTAAGGGTTTGGGGTTGGGGTTGAGCGCTTCTTGAACCCGATAGTTGTGTTGAGCATTGTTTTGGTCTACCGTTCATTGGCTAGAACCAACTGACATCAAAGCTGTGCTGAATAGGAGCCCCTGAAAATGTCGAGAAGTTCCCTCCGCTTCGCTAGCGAAGACAGCTGGAAACATACAAGTCTTCGGGCTTGGGGAGCCGTAGGGATTTAACGATTTAGGGAAGACATCTTAACGAAATCATGGTGTGCCCTGCATGGAAACTAGGGTCCGTCCTATGAGGTGCTTTGCCCAGAATCGCAGCACAAGGTAATCAACAAACAGAGATTACGTCGACCAAAGCTGAGACCGCTTTGATTTCTACTAAGCACAAAAAGAGCTACGTGACGCAGATGTCATTGTCGAGCTGCTGAAATGACTGAAGCAACCTGAAAGTACTGATATTAGAAGCTCTTTCGACTTCGCAAGTCTACTTAGTCTCCCCTAGAAACCCCTATACGAATCCCCATAACCCAACTTACTAAGTCAAAAGGGCTTCCCAGTGAGGACCATCAAGGAATACAGCGGGATCTCAGAGGAGACTTAGAAGGGCCACCCTTATAAGTTTAAACCCCATAAACCCTAAACCCTCAACCTCCAACCTCCGAAGAGCTCTCGGGCCTGGGAAGTGAGCAGCTTCTCACGCACGTCCTCAGGGCTTTGGGATTCAACACTGATAGGGTTCCATGCTTTGGGGGGTTTTGGGGGGTTTCCCTGAAGGTACTGCAAAGGCAAACAATGCAGGGCTTAGAGGTTGTGAAGTTTAGGAGGTTAAGGATTGTGTCGAAACGTCTAGAGCTAGTCTGAGGGTCTAGGACCTTGAGTTTCAGGGTTTAGGATCTGTAGGTTTAGGGCTTGGGGACGCAGGCACCATGTGCTGCCGAATGCCGCAAAGCTGCCGCAGCCAGGTACGTGGCATGTGTGAATGTGAAGAGGCTGCCCTCCCCTCGTCGACCACAGCAAAAACCCTACCCCTCATACTCCTTGACTAAACCCCTATAAACCCTAAACGATCGACCCAAACTCTCTACAATCCTAAAACCCTGAAGCCCTGAACCCTAAACCCTGGCTTCGCAAAAGGTCCGCAGCCGTAGCGTCCTCCAGTGAGGCGTTGAGCAGCTCGAGGTCAGATTGAACCTGTGCCTGAGCGGTCGATGGGCGACTTTGCCCTAAGCCTTCTTGAAAACCCCCCAAAACCTGATTCAGATTCTGTGCCGTTGGAGCACTTTTCCTAAACCCAACTTAGACTCAAGACTCAAGAGTATTCCCGATGGGTAGGGCAGAAGTCTCGGACTTCGCTGTGTCATCCTACTTAGGCCCTAACCTCGGAAGAAAGAACTGCTCAGACATGCTCAGACTTTGTTGTTGTGCAATCCTGGATGTGCAGGATGATACAGCTACAGTAAGCTAGGACATGCCCAGCAGCGATCATGTTCTGTCATGTCAGTGAAGTGTCGGTCTGTCGGATCGCCTGCAGTGCCTTCTTCTGAGCCACTTCTTCTTGTTTGGCTGGCCCTACCAAGAGCTTTTGTCTCGCCAGGGCTGGTAGGCTTGGGAACTGGACCCTGTAAATGTTCCACGCTCGAGTGCGCTTGCAACAGCATCCAAAAACACCTAAGGTGATCCAGGGCTGCTTGTGTAGGCTCCTCAGGGCAACCCAAACCGCAGGTCCAAGTGAGAGGCATCCTTCTGCTTGATGGCCAAGCGCCACTCCTGGTCAGCTTCTTCCATTCGTTGAAAAACCTACGGAGTATGATCCTCTCACCAACCTCGCAAGTGCAGAAAGTGCCCAAAAAACTCCTCAACACGCTTTTGCCCAAACTCGCATTCACCGCCGTAAACCTTAAACCCGAAACCCTAAACCTTACACAATAAAACCCCAAGCCCTAAACCCAGAATTGTTGGCATCGAGGCTGGCTTAGAGCTGGGGGTTTAGAGCTCAGGGTGGCTCAGGGTGCTTGAGATGTGAGGCTTGCGGTGTAGGGTTTGAGGGTTGAAAGAGGTTTAAGTGCTTGCGTTTTAGGACCTGAAGTGCCGAAATGCTAGGATCTAGGGCGTAAGGCCCCCTGAGATTTTCTGAGTGGAGTGGGATGCCGACCTCGGTGGAGTGGATCTGCCGGGCCAGCGCATTGGATACCTGGAGGGTTGACCCCATCGATCCAAACTCGTAACTTAAGGCTCAATCTCCGCACAGCTCCACACCCTCCGTGCAAAGTCGGGCGCAGAGGCCGAGGGCTTATGAGCGGAACTTTGAAGGAGTCTGATGTTATACGTATATATATATATATATATATGCTACCCCCCCCATGCGCCCACGCTTCAGCATGGTTTCCAGACAAAAACACTACGTTCCGCCACCCGCGGTGGGTTTTAAAGGGGGGAGGAACTCCCATAAAACTCCAGCAGAAGTGACCTGAACAATTTGCTCGAGATTGTGGATTGCATGCTATGAGTTTAAATAGAAATCCTATGCATGTGAATAGCGTTCCTATCAAATTTATTTGGGTTCATAGGATTCATCTTGTTTCAATAGGAATCTTATAAAAATGAAAAGGAAACCCATTAATCGGAATGAGAACCCTTAAGTCTATTAAAATTATATTGGAATCCTATTCAAATGACAGAATCCTATTTAAATTGATAGGAATCATATTACATTTGTAGGAGCCTTAGTAAAATAATTCGGCAAACTATGGAAATGTATTGGAATCTTATACACAGAAAAACAGGAATCCTCTATTTCAATCATAGGAACCCTAGAAAAAGTAGAACCCAATTATACTTGATAGCAATCCTAATAAACTGAAGAGGGCCCCTACTAAAATTAATAGGAACCAATGGGACTCCTATAAAAACAAGTGTGAACCCCTAAATAGTAGGAGTCCTACAAAATTTAATATGAGCCTAAACCAATCGGTATCCCTTTCAAACGAATGAGATCCCTATTAAAATAAATACGAATCCCATTCACATGAATAAGCATCTGATTAAACTTGATAGGAATTTCATTACATTATGGAGCCTTATTAAAAGAATTAGGAACCCTATGAAACTTTATTGGAATCCTATAGAAATAAATAGGAATCCTCTATTGACTTCATAGGAATCCTGCCAATATTTTTCGGAACCGATAAAAGTTAATAGGAAGCCTATTAAAATGAATAGGAACCCTTACCAAATTGCAAAGAACCGGTTATAATTCATAGGGATCCTTTTAAAATGAGAAGGAACCTTGCTAAATGAATAGGAACCAATAGGACTCCTGTATAAAATAATATGAATCGGCTTAAAAGATTGGTTTTTTTGGTACAGTACAGCGTTTTTGCAGTCCCAGGCCTCGAAAGTGCTGTACTGTCCCAAAAAAAACAATCTTTTTAAGGCAAAAAGTGCAAAAATGCTGTACTGTCCCAAAAAAATCCAAAAAAACCAAAGTTTGGAGACCTTGGGCTCCTCCAGGGCCTGGAAGTCTCCAAACTTTGGTTTTTGTTGGTTTTTTTGGGACAGTACGGCATTTTTGCTTGTTTTGGCTTAAAAAGATTGGTTTTTTGTGATGACAGTACAGCGTTTTTGCAGTCCCAGGCCTCGAAAGTGCTGTACTGCCCCAAAAAAACCAATCTTTTTAAGGCAAAAAGTGCAAAAATGCTGTACTGTCCCAAAAAAACCCAAAAAACCAAAGTTTGGAGACCTTGGGCTCCTCCAGGGCCTAGAGGTCTCCAAACTTTGGTTTTTTTGGTTTTTTTGGGACAGTACGGTATTTTTGCTTGTTTTTGCTCAAAAAGATGGGTCTTTTTTGGACAATACAGCGTTTTTGCAGTCCGCCTCGAACGTGCTGTACTGTCCAAAAAAAAACACATCTTTTTAAGGCAAAAAGTGCAAAGATGCTGTTTTTGCAGTCCCAGGCCTCGAAAGTGCTGTACTGTCCCAAAAAAAACAATCTTTTTAAGGCAAAAAGTGCAAAAATGCTGTACTGTCCCAAAAAAAACAAAAAAGCCAAAGTTTGGAGACCTTGGGCTAAACCCTAAACCCTAAAGCCCTAAACCCTGACCTAAACCCTAAAACCCTAAACCCAAAACCCTAAAACCCTAATTCCCTTTCGAGGAGCGAAGCAATGCTTACATATGCGGAACATCCCTCTCTCTTAGGATCGACTAACCCATGTCCAACTGCTGTTCACATGGAGCCCTTCTCCACTTCAGCCTTCAAAGTTCTCAATTGAATATTTGCTACTACCACCAAGATCTGCACTAGAGGCTCCTAGGGTTTAGGGTTTGAGGTTTTTGGGTTGAGGGTTTAGGGTTTGAGGCTTAGGGTTTAGGGCGGTTAAAGGCTAGGGCTGAAGGGTTTATAAACCCTAAACCCTAAACCCTAAACCCTAAACCCTAAAACCCTAAACCCTGGACCCTAAACCCTAAAACCCTAAACCCGAAACCCTAAAACCCTAAACCCTAAACCCATTCCCTTTCGAGGAGCTGGCTTAGGGCTTAGGGCTTAGGGCTTAGGGTATAGGGCTGCGGGCCTTTTAGGGTTTAGGGCTTAGGGCTTAGGGCTTAGGGCATGCCCTAAACCCTAAACCCTAAAACCCGTGCAGCTCACACGAACGGCCTGCCGGACGAAACGACGAACGACGAACGAACTTAAATCCTCCCGTCCATCGACCGGCGGCAAGGGACAAAGCCCGCCCGTACTCCCAAGACACCCGCCCCGCGCCCAGCAAAACCCGAACAAGCCCCACACCTTGTGCATCAGAACGCGCGTGGGGTGGTTCTGGTCCGAGCGCGTCGCATCATGCTTCGCGCGCTTGTCTGCATGCGAAGGGCTCACACCAAGAGCCTCTAGAGCCGAAGTCGCGCTCTGCGGAGCCGCGACCGCTCCTTTGGCGCACGCTTCAGCAGGGCCTGGAGGTCTCCAAACTTTGGTTTTTTGGTTTTTTTGGGACAGTACGGCATTTTTGCTTGTTTTGGCTTGAAAAGATTGGTTTTTTGTGATGACAGTACAGCGTTTTTGCAGTCCCAGGCCTCGAAAGTGCTGTACTGTCCCAAAAAAACCAATCGTTTTAAGGCAAAAAGTGCAAAAATGCTGTACTGTCCCAAAAAAACAAAAAAAACCAAAGTTTGGAGACCTTGGGCTCCTCCAGGGCCTAGAGGTCTCCAAACTTTGGTTTTTTTGGTTTTTTTGGGACAGTACGGCATTTTTGCTTGTTTTTGCTTAAAAAGATTGGTTTTTTTGGGACAGTACAGCGTTTTTGCTCTTCTGGGCCTAAAACATTGGTACAGTAGAGCGCTTTCGTGCTCGCTGCCCTCGGAGGCTTCGAAATCCTAAGCCTCTAAACCCTACCATGGCACCTGAGAGGAAAAAGTGTGGGCATATGGGGGGGGGTACCATATATATATATATATAATATGCAGGTATGTATGTGTATATATATATATATATATGTACATATAAAAAAGACATCGATAAGGTGAATACAAGCACTGCCCTGGATCCCAAACTGTGCTGTATACCAGTGCAAACTGTTCACATTACATGAGGAGGGCATGGATACCAATAGCTTCAAGAGGACACTCACATATATATATACATATATATACATATACATATATATATATACGCACCAAACTAAAAATAAACAAAGTATGCCAATATATATATATATATATAGCTATCTATCTATCTATCTATCCATCCATCCATCTATCTATCTATCTATCTATACACACACACACACTCTCTCTCTCTCTCTCAATTCATGTATATGTGGACACACACACACTCTCTCTCTCTCTCTCACCACCAACAATAATATAAGCCCTACTTCATATGAACAGGCTCCCCTGATGACGAAAGACCTTTAGCATGATCTCGCAACCCCTCAACCCCCCTAGACTCCACGTTGACTCTTGTCCAAAACCCTAAGCCCTCGAACCTAGACAGAAAATAGCTTGAGTTCAGATAATGCCCCCATGCAGCAGTAGAGATGTCACAGAACCAAAAGATCCTGCAAAAATGAGTTATCGTTTGGTCTCAACAAGCCTCTTACTGTATGGTGGCTGAAACATGGCGTGAATGAGGGTCTTGGGCTCGGACAATCAATTGTTTCAGAACAATAATCTGACTCGAACCCAAAATATCCAAGAATCAACCCCTAAACCCTAAACCCTAACCCCTAAACCCCAACCCCTAAACCCTAAACCTTAAACCCTGAACCCAAGATCCGGCGGCCTGGCCCTCCATGTCCACATGGTCCGCGAGCTGGCGGCTCACGGACTGAGTCGTGAACTGCTGGAACTCTGCCTGAGGGTTTAGGGTTTAGGGTTTTGGGTTCAGGGTTTAGGGTTTCATTTTGAGGTCCTTGAAGGGAGGGGAGTCTGGAGGTACCTAGAGGGCCTTAGGGACCTTCAACAGAGCGCACGATGCTGCTGGAGGAGGAGGGCTTGGGCTTGATGGAGTTTAGGGTTTAGGGTTTAGGGTTTAGGGTTTACGGTTTAGGGTGATCTTAGCAGCTTAGCATGTGGGGCTTTTGCTGGGGGCTCTGTTGGGCTTAGGTTTCAGGAAAACAGTTGCAGAGGCCTCAAAATTCACACGCAGATGGCAAAAACCAAGAGGTTCAGGGCTTTCACTTTTGGAGAGTCTGCCAAAACTTTGAACCCCGAAACACTACACTCCAAACACGCATTTGAGGTTTCGGGTGGGTCTTGAGGGTTAGGGTTTGGGGAGCCTGGCTCCCCAGCAACCTTATTGTAAGAAGAACGCCCCGCTTTGTTTGATTGGAGGTTTTCATCAGGGAACCTAACCTCTGAACAATTCAGGGTGGCTAGGGCGGTGTAGGACATGAGGCTAGGAAACTCGAAATCCTAAACCCTGAGCACAAAGCTCTAAAGCCCCTGCTCCAGGGTTCAGTTTCGCACCTGGAGGTTGGTAAGGTGCTCCTGAACGTGCGTCTCGTGGGCTTGCGACCTGAATAAACTCAGGTTCCGGGCCTGGGGTTGAATTCATGTTTCAGGCCTGATAAGACAGAACCAGCTTCGGGCGGCCGTGAAAATTCAGGCCCAGGCTGTCCACCCCTTTCAAAAAGGGGCGAAAGAATAGTCTAGGCATCTACCTTTATTTTGCCTACATATAGACACACCCTTCAGTACGATTACCTAGATCTCTGCCGAAAAGGATGATCATAACCCGCAGGGCCACGACTGCTGCGCCCGGCTCTCGAGCAGGTGCAGTCGTTGGGTGTCCATGATACTGCGGTCGTCGAAGACCTCCAGCACCCAGAAAGCCCAGTGCATCGGGGCATTTCCCTTCATGAGGTACCTTAATACCCCCAACGTACTACAACCTCAGTCTAGGAACCCTTCAAGAAAAGCACCCCTCCATTTTGTGAAGCCCCCACCCAATTAAACAAAGTATAGGGTTCAGGGTGCAGGGTTTATGGGGTCCAGGAGTTCGGAGGTTGTAAAGAGTGGCGTTTAGGCTGAAAGAATCTTGTCCACACAAAGAATGAGTGTGTCTTTTTTTTCCATGCCATCCCACCACGCACCTAATGCAGCGAGACACCACAACCTCTTCTTTTTTCGGCCTTAGGCCTGAAAAGCCCCTGGTAAGTCTCTTGCAAGCTCGGGTTCCTTATCACGAGACCCCAAGTGAACCAAATGCCTAATTTGGAACCATGACCCGCCCGAAAATTCTAATGATCCTTAATGCAGCGATACGCTTTGCTTCATAACTAGGATTCGTATAGTTTGTCTTGGGGCCCTAAACCCTAGATAAACTGAAGGTTTAGGACTCAAGGTTCTGTGGTCACTCTGGGTTGTAGGATGTAGGACGAATTAGCACTTGGAGTTCGAGGGCCTTGGGATTACCTGATTACCTGCCGTGCGGGGGTCGGGGGTCTCCGGGCACATTCGAAAGCCCTAAAACCCGCCAAGCTTGAGATGTGGCCGGGTTGCAACATGTCAAAGCGGTGTGTGTGGAGCGTTGGCAAACCCTAAGCCCAACCCTTGCTGAAGAAGCATTCAACCCTGTAGCACATCCCGAAGCCCCACACCGCAAACGAACCTTGCGAAGGGCACGGAGCTCCTCCTCGAGCTGGCTGATGAGCCCAGCCTGCACAGGGGGGTGGAGGCCGTAACCTAATTTTTCAGAAGTGCACAGGGCCGCCAGCCTGGGACTCGCAACTGACAAGCCGCTGCTCACAGGCGGAAACGCGGGCTGCCTGTGAGACGGGCTGGTTGGGTCTCGCAGGGCCTTGCGTTGAGGGCTTGAGGGCTGAGGGTTGAGGGCTTGTCTTAGGCTTCTGGGTTCAGGGTTTCGGGGGCAGTGAGCGACGAGGGCTAGGGGCTGGATTTAAGATTTACAGTTGAGGATTTAGGGCCGCCTTGGGTTCAAGGGTTGATAGCTACAAGGTCACAATTGGAGCCCTGAACGGAACGCAAGAGCCCCACACTTCAGGTTTATGGCCTCTATACGGCCATATTTAGGCTAAGATCATCTTGCAATTGGAACCTGATTGACTTATTCCTGCTCAGAGATAACATCCAGTACCAGTCGACAACTTCTGTGAGCTGCGATATGCCACCGAAGTGATACGAGTACTACACGAATCACTTCTAGAGCAGCTACGGTGCCAGGCCCTTTTCTTCAAACCTGCGACAACACCGACAAGGCGCCCCCCATGTCTCCCGGGTCTGCGAAACACACAAATTGAGTTGAACAAGTTCTTGATGGTGTTCCTCCCCCTTTTTTCTCTGCTAATCTGGTTGGCTTCGTCACCTTGGGCGTTCTCCTTGCAAGAAACACACAAGTCCAATCATGAGATTACACGCATATGTGCCTGCATTTTTGCACACGCATATACATGCATGTATAGAGAGATATATATATATATAATATGCATAGATCATGTCATGAATATTGGCATTCCTGGCTCTAGGGTCTTCGGATCTTGAGGCTCTCAGCTCGAAGTTAACGGCTTCAGGCTTTGGGGTCTCGCCCCAAATGTTCCTCAACATCCCTGCTCTGAGCTTTCGATATGCGGCCAGCGCGCCACGGCGTGGTCGTTCGGAGCGTCCCGCTGCACCTGTGCCTCGCCACTCTGGCCAGCAAGGGTTTAGGGCTTAGGGTCTAGGGGACAACTCACGGCTCTGAACGTTTAGAGGTTGGAGAATCCGCAAGGAGTCACCCACCACTCTGGCCAGCAAGCCCCCCTGAAACCCGAAACGCTACACCCCAAACCCTAAACCCCGACGCCTGCTCGGGTTCCCAAATCCTACTCGACTTGGGGGCATGCACAGCAAAAGTGGGGAGTGATAGCCATGGCCGCTAGGAGCCCAATTTAGAGGATGGGTAGGTATCTGGCGTACACCTTAAGAAAATAGAAGTATAAAAGGCTTGGTATGGGGGGATTCCTTGTAGCTATTGAGGCTCCTGTATCCCTAAACCCTAAACCCTAAACCCTTAACCCTAAACCCTAAACCCTACACCCCTTACCCAGTCCACCTCCAACTGCGCAGAGGGCATGGTCACGTCGCCTGCGCTGCACATGGAAATTCAGAAGCAATGCCATTAAGATTACAGCGTATAGGGCTTGTTTAGCGTTTAGGGTTGTAGGGTGCTAGGGTTTTTGGGTTTTTGGGTTTTAGGGTGTTAGGGTTCTAGGGTTTTCGGGTTTAGGGTTTTAGGGTCCAGGGCCCTGCGGGATTAAGAGAGAAAGAGCCGGTCGCCTTCAAAACAAAGCGATGTCAGAAGCCATGTTCCCACACGCGGCGCGCAGCAAGCACGTCAAACCCTCAACCCTAAAACCCTACAAGCCCTAAAGCCCTCAAACCCTGCATCACGTAGAGGACCTTCCGCGACGACAGCAAAAATGAACCTCCTCATACCTAACAAAGCCCGAAACCGACGCTAGACACTGGGGTCAAAAAAAGTGCGGGCTACAAGAACCAAACACCCAAAATTGCCCTTAACCCTAAGATGCTTTAAGAGAAAGCGTGCCGTTTCAGGATTGTTACGCCCTAGGGTTTAGGGCTCAGGGTAGGGGTAGGCTTAAAGGTTATTTTGGGGGGTTGGGACTGTAAGGGCCTTAATTTAGCGCTTAGGGGAAAAGCCCTAAACCTTTGGATGTTCCCCCTTATACTAACAGTCCTTAATAGGAATATAATTGGGTGTACTGTACTCTATCCCTATTAGGGACTGTTAGTATAAGGGGGAACATCCCAACCTAAATCCTAAGCACGCAAAGTCCGCGCAATGGCAGCTGGCAGGCCTACATAGCCTTGGTCTGCCGGGGCCTGGGCCAGCGTCACCAGGGTTTCGGGTTGAGGGCTACTCTTTTGCTCAGTTAAGGGCTGGCAAAGGGCTCAGGGTTTGGGATTTAGGGAGCTTAGGGTCTTCGGATCGCAAACCCTGCCAAAAAAGAAATACAAAACTTTGGAGCCCCCTTGCAAGCGGATGTGTTTTCACTGCCGGGTTGAGTTGCGGTTTAGGACCTTTTGGGGGGGGGGGGGGGGGGGTCCCGGGCACTGGATGCAGGCTATACCCGCCCTACATTTATCCGCCCTATTCCAATAACACCCTACTCTACATCGAAAGTCTCTAAACGTCCCTAGATGCCAAATTCCCTAGCCCCAAACCCCCCCCAAAAAAACAAGACCCTAGATCACAAACCCTAAACCCCAAATCCGACTGCACCCTGGCATCCCAATCAAAACAGCTCAATTCCTGTTCTTGCTGTGAATACCATTAGAACAATAACTTTAGCTACTATTACTGTTATTTTATGAATATTGTTGTTACTACTAGTAGTCTTCATAGTATTACAGTGACTACGACTATTGCTATGACTACGGACAGTACTAATGCTACTGTGTCTCGTCTGCACCTCCAGGCCCTGTCAAGAGAGGAAGAGGATCGGACAACCCCCTCGGGTCGTGAGCTTCGGCCTTTGCCTTTAAAAGGGTGCCGCTTTCGGGCGCGGTAAGGGCTCACCTACTCTCTACACCAAACGGCGCCACTTCAGAGACGGGACTTCAGAGGCGGGACCACGGGGAGATCACCGTCGATGCACTTGTGCTCCCTCATGTCAGAGAAATCAAAAGAGTAGATGTCCTGCATGGCCGCAGAGGGGAGATTCTTCATGTTAATCAATGGCTCGAGGAACTTTTTGTACGACGTCTCATCCTTGAAAACCAAGTCACCAAGCATCTTGTTCTTAGTGGCCAACAAACCCTTGAGGTCAGCGGTGGTGTTCCTCGCGTGGCCTGGTGGGTACATCACGAGTCCGCTGGACAACTTCTTGCCGCCCTTCATGGTGATGTCGATGGAGGTTGGAATACCATCGGGGTACTTGGCATCGTACTCAGCGCCGCCGTGCTTGAAAGTGATCTTCTGCATGAGGGCACGCGTTGTCGCATCATAGAGCGCATCCTTGCCATAGTCATAGGGTGTGAGCATGAGATCGTTCCAGGCCGCCTGCACACTGGGGGGCTTCTTGCCCTTGGCAACCGCCTTCTGCAACATGCGCGAAACGATGAAGGCCATGGAGTGATCTGCGGACTGTCGCGTCTTTGGATCCTTCTTCGCTGGGTCACCAATGATGCCGAAGGCTGGCTCGTAGGCCACAATTGAAATCTCCTCGATGCTGTCCAAGCCCTTGGTGCAGAGTTCCTCGTTGTCGGCGACCAGCTGCACCTAGTTCATGGTTGGGATAATATTAAAAACCTAATCTTTTATTCCTTATGGGGTTGAAGTACCCTTAAAACTGCAAAATGTTACCCAACTATGACAAAGGCACGGCACCGTGCAGTGCTCCAGCGGACTGATGCTCGTAGAGGCCAATCTTAAAGTGCATGCCACACACGGCGAAGTCGGAGCCCGAGTGCGTCAAGACCAGGTTGAAGGGGCTGGGGCCTTTAGGGTTTAGGGTTTAGGGTTTAGGGTTCAGGGTTCAGGGTTCAGGGTTTTAGGGTTTTAGGGTTCAGGGTTTAGGGTTTAGGGTTCAGGGTTTAGTGTTTAAGGCCTTGCCCCCAGCGAACTTTGTTGCCCAAGGTGATGTCAATACTGTCCTTGTTCTTCGTCACGCCCGTGGTGGGCTCGAAAAACCTGCCCTAAACCCTAAACCCTAAACCCTAACCCCTAACCCCTAAACCCTAAACCCTAACCCCTAAACCCCTGAACCCTAAACCCAAACCCCTAAAAACCCTAAACCCTGAAGCCTGAAGATGCTCTCGGGGTTGCGGAAGATGTCACGGGGGCCCACGAAACCGCGCATGGCACGACGCATGGAAAGCACCGCTGCCTCTGTCGAGATGGCTGCAGAGGCACCTGGGGTTGTAGTGTATATACATATATATCTATCTATATCTATATATATATATATATATATATATAGTATATGTCTAGTATATATAGTATATATAATATCCCCTGGGGCTGTAGAAAAAAGCATCCCGGGGTTGCTAAAAAAAACACGTATCCACTTGCTACTCTTTTTCGGCGTTATGGTTCTTTCTCCTTCTTATCGCTTTCCAACTATCGGCACATCCTATCATGATAGCACAACTTCAGTACTAGATGTGGAGACATACTTCATTCACAATGATTAAGGATTATCCTCAGAATCATAGAATTCGACATTCTGTATGTTTTCTTCTTCTCGTTTTTGCAGACGAAACCGCCAGTCTCCGTTCCCCAACCCCCGCCTTTCGAATCCGAAAGCTGCTTCCCTGCTCGGATGGCACGGAAGGGTACGTAGTGCGCAACCACCATGCCGATGGCGCTCTCGATCTCCTCGGCCGTGGCTCCCAACAAGGCTCCGTAGACCGCTGCGGACGCGATCGCACCATGCACGACATGGTCCAGCTTGTAGCTCTTGAGGCTGAAAACTTCTGCGAGACGGCCGCGAATCTCATCGAGACAGATCATGGCGCGGAGGGCGGTCTTGCCAGTGACCTTCCCCGTCACCTGAGCCGCAGCAATGACGACCCCGTAGAAGTCGTTGTGGCCAAACTCTCCAGCCTGGTGACCCGGGATGTTGGGATTGTAGCCAAAGACGGTTCCGTTGGAATCCCACTCTCGCGCCGCTGCCGAATTTGCCACCACGGCCTTCTCAGGAGCACACTTCTGCTTGCTGCCGAACACCGTCGCACCCTCGTCATCCTTGTAGGTCAGGGCCTCTTCGCGCAAGACCGTGGGGGAGTTGCACTTCATGGCGAGTGCAGAGATCCCGCACATCACAGAATCCGTATGGAACTGCTCAATCTTCTCCCAGACGCTGGCATCGATGTTGTCGCCGTACTTGCCGCCAATGAAGTCCAACGCATACTGGGCAATGCCCAAGGCCTGGTCACTATGAGTATTATTGTTATTCTCATTATTATCCTTAGAAACCCTAAACCCTAAACCCTCAACCCTTATGATCATTATCATTATGACTTAATCATCCCAAGGCCTGGTTGGAATCCGCGGCGAGCGTTACGGTGGTCTTCGGATCCGCCATCACGCCGTCTAAACAAGAGACTGGTCCACAACCCAAGCAAGCTCAAGTATGTTAAATATAGAACTATATGTATGGAGAGAGAGAAAGAGCTGCATACGTATATATGTAGATCATAATGTACCATAATGTATCACAATGCATCCTAATCTATCACAATGCATGAGAATGTAAAATCATGTAGAATAGCGAATCAGAATGCATAATACTGTGTAGTAATGTACTGTATTAACCCTATCCCGCAGGTGCCTAGCTGGTGTTTGTCTGTGTGTATCACCTTCACAAAGACTAGCGGGGCTGGCGGAGAAAGTGTTCAAAGACATCTTGAACCACCCAAAGTTCAAGGCTGTGTTGGATCGCATTCTATGTTCACCAGCGGATGTCATCTTGCTACTAGAGTGCAGCAAAACTTTTGGGGGAAAACAGGACTTAGTCTGAGTAATAAAGGCCACGTTTTGCAACCCTTGTCTTCTGATGTGGTGCCAAGCCTAGAATCAACTGCACTACCGGCTACCACCGTACCTCCGCTGTTGTGCTCCTGCTGTGGGTCATCCTTTCAATTCCTAGTTGTTGAGCAATAAACTTGTTGGTTTCGTTATTATTCTAGCTGACATCTTCTCAAGCCCTAGACCCTAAACCCTAAACCCTAAACCCGGTGTGGGCCTGGAGCCACGGCAGCGGCTTGGGAAAAACGAGATTCGAGCCCACGAGGGGAGGATCCTGGAGAGGGCTTGCAGGGTTGAGAGGGGGTTTAGGGTTTAGGGTTGCGGGTTGCGGGTTTAGGGTTTAGGGTTTAGGGTTTAGGGTTTAGGGTTTAGGGGGCTTAGAGGGCTTACAGGGCTTAGGGCTTAGAGGGCTTAGGGTTTAGGGGGGTTGGGGTTTAGGCTTATAGGGCTAAAAGGGCATATAGGGCTTAGGGCTTATAGGGCTTAGGGCTTGTAGAGTTCTTAGGGTTTAGAGGGTTTAGGGGGTTTAGAGGGCTTAGGTTTTGCAAGTAGATCCGAAATCCAGATTTTGTAATAGGAAAATTTGCCCGATATCCGGGGTAGTCCAAGCCAACGATGGAGAACTTGGTGCTATAAACAGGTCTAGGTTGTGAAGTTGTAGTCCGGGCGATAGCATCCGTATCAACGGGTCGGGTCCAGGGGCCTGTTCCTTTCCCAACAGAAGCCACCCTCGCGTCGCGTACACCAGAGAATATTCACGGTAGCTAATATCAAGGGGCGTATAAGCGTTGCAGCTGGGTTGCCCTTGTGGTGTCTATCAGCTTCCACCTTATACTCTGCCACTCCTCCTCCACTGACGCCTAGGTTCCTTGTGGCTTTTCAGTATCAAGGAGTCGAAAGCGAGGCTAGGGGCCTGTACAAACAGGGCAACAACTTTTTGTTTCGCTATGTCAAAGGAGCTCCTATGATCCTCAAGCGCTGCGGCGGAAAACCGTCAACAGAACTCAACATGACAGACAACTGTACCGGACTGTCATGCATAACATGGGCTTTACCTTTAGCCCATGCCTAAACGCGTGGAAAATCATCGACCACGTCTATCATAGCCTATCAGTCCTGTATCCGGTGATCTCGTCGAGCTCGTCCAGCACAAAGGGTATCATTCATCATTATTCTTCCTTCCTTCCTTCCTTCCTTCCTCATAACGATAAAGGTAAAACCCGGAATCTATCACTGTCATGTTTGACATGCCACTTAAGCTACATTTACTTGACGCGCCAAACAGGTTTTAGAGGGCTTAAGGTTTAGAGGGCTTAGGTTTTGGGGCTTAGAGTTTAGAGGGTTTACAGGGTCTAGGGGGTTTAGGGGGTTTTGGGGATTTAGGGTTTATAGGGTTGAGGGTTTTAGGGGTCGGAAATTGGGAAGGTCGGAATTCGGAAGGTCTCCGGGTTTGATGAGAAGGGTTCGGGTTTGAAGGTTGGGGTTTGGGGCTTCAGGGTTCGGGTTTTCTGAGCGGGGCTTTTAGGTCGTTGAATTTGAGGGCATGGTTGAAGGCGTAGAACTCAGCCATCACGCCCGCACCCCTCTCACCCTGAGACCCTCTGAGACTCTTGAAGGGGAGAGGGTTTAGAGTTTAATTAGGGTTTAGGGTTTTCATTCTCATGAAACTGGGGGGGGGGATGAGGACTGTGCCTTTGTTGTAGAAAAATCTCTTCAGTAACCTGGGAGCATGTACTTTGTAGGGTCTCGATGCTTTTGGCGCTTAGGCGTTTAGGGTTAATATAGGGGTCGGAAAGTATTGCCCTGTGGTCCCTGTATGACTAAACTCTCATAACCCCCAAGCCCATTGAAATTATTAAGGCCCCTAAACCCTAAACCCTAAACCCCCGAATCGTAGGGGTTTGGGCATTTCGGGCTTGGGGACGAGCCCGCAGCAAGCCCCGCCTTCTGCACGGGCGGCACATCCTGACTCCCAGCCCTTAAAGGCTGTAAGGTTTAGGGCTTCTATAGGGCTTAGGGCTTCTGATTTAGGGCTTTGGGTTTAGAGGGCTTTGGGCGGTTTAGGGGGGTTAAGGGGTGAACGCCACCCAAACAAGCACCAAGCCCTGAAACCCGAAACCCTGGAAAGCGCGGGGGTCAGGGTTCAGGGCCCATGGCGCATGACATGGCCCTTCTCCCACCTTTTTGGAGTCCTGTCATGCTTCGGCCCGTAGCATTTGGCAGCCCTAAAAACACATCCTACTCTCGGCAACAAACCACACGCAGCCTAGGTTTAGGATTTTTGGATTTTGGTAGCTTGTACCGCCGGTGCTTTCGGCTTGTGGGGTGCATTTGAACCCTTCTTCCCTGAACCCTAGGTGAACACCAAAACTTTGAACCCGGCATTCGCCCAAAAACCTACGGAGGTAATTGGGTCCCTGGTTGTGGGGCTCATGGCGGCAAGAGAGATTCCGATGGCCTCCTTGCCAAAGATCAGACCACCGATTTGGGTCCTGCGAACCAGGGTTAGGGTTGAGGGTTTAGGGTTGAGGGTTTAGGGTTGAGGGTTGAGGGTTTAGGGTTTAGGGTTTTGGTTTCACGGCCGTTTCTCTCCCGTAAGGATCTGCCCGACGGCATCGTAGTCGAGCTTAAGATCGTCGACGTGGGGCTTAAGGCAAGTTTAGGGTTTAGGGTTTAGGGTTTAGGGTTGAGGGTTGAGGGTTGAGGGTTGAGGGTTGAGGGTTGAGGGTTGAGGGTTGAGGGTTGAGGGTTTAGGGTTTAGGGTTTAGGGGTCTAGCAGTACAGGAGGGCGGGGGGATTTAGGTGCGACGCGAAGCCCTGAATCCCTGAAGAGCTCCTCGGTTGAAGAGGTCCAAGCATCTGCTTCGCAGACCTGGATCCCGAACACTTCGCCCTAAGATAGTAGGGTTTTGTGTCTAGAGGTTATATGGCTCAGCGTTGAGGAACGCTATTGAGAACAAAATCATATCCATTGCAACAATAGAATAAACAACTACTCAAGACCATGGTGCTACAAAAAAAATCGCAATCATCATCCCAGCACAGGGTCAGTTCTGGGGTCGCCCGGCCAGTTTTGTGCTTGGCGGGGGGGGGGGGGGGGAGGAGAAGAAGGTGGGGAGAAGGGGGGGAAGGTGGGGAGGGGGGGAGCGGGGCGAGGAGGGAAGGGCGGGGCAAGGAGGGAGGGGGAGGGGGCTAAGTTTTGGTTTAAGGGCAGTGTGGGCTGTTGCCGACCGGAAACTGCCTTGGATTTCGGGCATCCCGAAGCTTATATCGTTCAAAGCCAGCGAAGTAGGAATGACATCAGCAACAACCCTGCTATACAGCAGATGTACAAATTATGGGCTGTGTAAGCGAAACCAGGTAGGGACTATATTATACCACACAACTGGGTTTGTTCGATGGGGTGGGGGGGGGGGGGGGGGCGGGCGACAGGTGTTGGGATCAGGGTATGTTTCGCAGGTACGTTTCGGGGTATGTTTCGGGGGTATGTTTCGCAGCATCATGAGCTACTTTACCTGCAATTTTGGGGGTATGTTTCGGGGTATGTTTCACGGGTGTGCAACCCGTGTGCCCGTGTGCCCTTCTTAAACCTGGGCCCCCAAAAAAGGACAAACCCAACTGAACTAACCTTCTTACTCAAGGATCCCTAAACCCCCCGGAAACCCTAAACCCAAAGATCCGCGACTCGCTGGGTCTAAGTGATGTAGGGCTCGTTAATAAGAGCCCGAACTTCGAAACAAGCTTACTGGGCCCTGCACACTGATTCCTGAGACACCCTTAAAGCCCATCAAACCCTCTTAAAGCGCTTTAGGGTTTAGGGTTTTGGGTTTAGGGTTTAGGGGTTAGTGTTTAGGGACCCTTTGAAGCCCTAAACCCCGCGGCCTTGTGAACGGGTGGCTGAACAAAGTCCGGGCGCCCGTCCCCCCCGAACTTAAGCCAGGATCCACGGTTGGACTTTGGGGGTTAGGGATTGTAGTATGGCAGGGATTTTTGGGTTTAGGGATTTTAAAACTTAGAGGTTTAGGGTTTCAGGGTGCAGGGTTGACGATTTAAGCTTTAGGGCCTAAGGTTTTTTCGGAGTTTCCAGGCGAAGTACGGGCCTTAGGCTTTAATTAGGGCTCTCGTCCGAAAGCCTCAACCCCAAACCCTTCTATCGAGATCCTGCAAAACCTTTCAACCCTACCTGGAGGTTCATGGGTACTTATAAGATCCTATAAGTAGGGTTAAAAGTTATTATAAGCATGGTAAGTATACCTATAACCCTATTTAAAAACTCATGACCCTACTTTTTAGATACCCTAATGCACCTCCAAGAAAAGCTGAGTCAACCCATTCCGAGGACATACCAGCTGCTGTTATGCGCGCTGGAGGTCCTAAGTGTATGGGGTTCCGGGTTTGGGTTTGGGGTTTAGGGTTTTTAGGGTTTTTAGGGTTTTTAGGGTTTTTAGGGTTTTTAGGGTTTTTAGGGTTTTTCGGGTTTTTAGGGTTTTTAGGGTTTTAGGGTTTTTAGGGTTTAGGGTTTAAGGTTTAGGGCTGAGGGTTTAGGGGCCCTCTTAA